AAGTCGGATTGAATCCAAAACCAATTCTATGTCTTTTCGAATACAGTCGCTCTAGGAAAGTTTAAACTGGATTAGAATGAAACTCTTACCGAGAAAAACAGTGTTCTCTCTTATAAATAAATAGTTCCTTCTTTAGATAATTTGTTACACGGGCGACGATTCATATTTTAAAAAGGAAACTTTCGCACTGGAGCTCTATAATTCATAACTTTCTGGAACCAGAGTTTATTAGTAGAAATTAATTTTCCGTCTCGACTTTATAAAAGTATCTAAAACACTACGGAAAATTGGAAGGAAAAATGTACATTTATTGTGCGGCGTTTTGAATCAAATATTATATCCGAGCTGGAAATTCGGCATCGACATCAATTTAAACCGGAAATAAAATTATCCTTAGCCGCCTTATAGTCTTCTTCCTGCCTTCGATGACAGTGACATATTGAAAGAATTTTTTTATTTTTTGAGCATCCACCTTTTAAATGCTGTGAGGCCGGAAATTTATCTCAGCATATAATTTAGACGGTGAGCTGCGATATTTTCCTCAAAACTTTTAATTGTGGAATTCAAAACAGTTTAAACCAATCTGTACAATCTTAATTTTTCATTTAGTCTTCCAAATTGCTTTGTTCTTGTTCTCAAACTGAATAATTATTGATAAGTTCTATATTGTTGAGGCGGATTAATTTTTTACAAACTTCTTTTTGGGTATTTCGCCTCAAAAATTTTTGTCTTTAAAAAAGACAGAATTTCCTTACGTCTTTTATTACAGATTGATAAATAGTGCTCTCATTTCGCAATAAGAACGAATTATTTATCAAAAAGTAATCAAGAACTATCACCCAGAGGGTATCCTGCGACACACTTATGCTCAAGCTGTAAGAGAAAATTTCAATTAGTAGAGAAATTAATTTGAAAAATTATCTTTTTCCTTTTTTCGTTTTTAGCCGTTTCGATAGCTATTTTCTGCTATCGTTATCAAAAGAACCTAAATGAACCTAAAAAAGAGTATGTTAATAAATTGTGTAACAATAGTAGGATAATACAATATATGAAAATTCGCTCTGATAATGGCACAGACGAATTTTTGATAAATAATTCGTTCTTATTGCGAAATGGGAGCACTATTTATCAATCTGTAATAAAAGACGTGAGGAAATTCTGTCTTTTTTAAAGACAAAAATTTTTGAGGCGAAATACCCAAAAAGAAGTTTGTAATGAATAATTATTATTCAAACATATTTCCCGAATTTGGCAAATTCCAAAGTACTAGATTTAACACTTAAACTTGGACGATGAAACTACACCTTTGGACCTTTGCAATGGTGCTACTTGGGAATATGATTTATTTCTACTAGATTCAGATGTATGGCCCATTTCTAAAACGGGCATAAAAATTTACCGCCAACCTTATCTTAGTTAAAGTGAATTCGCACAACCAGTACACCGGGCAAGTGAAAGATTTACTGCCGAATCTAAACTATTTCACTTCATTTTAAATATATCTTCATTAAGGGTGAAATTTACTGCTCGAGCGAGATTTTTAAAAATAATATCCAGAATATATTTAAATACTTTACAAACAAACGAATTTTAATTAAGTAAAACGTAACATAAACTCAAATTAATTATAACTTAAATGCAACACGTAGCGGCGTAAAATATTCTTACAGATCTGAGGTTTGCGAACGGAAAAATGGAACCAGAAGCACATCAGTAAACGCTTTGGCACGCTTAAAACGCTTGAAAACAGGAGCTAATTAATCCTGGATTTCAATAGCTTACTAATTTCTAACTTTTTTCGTTGAAAATTTCCTCATCCCAGATTTAGATCAAGTACCATCTAAATCTGCCACTATGGAATCATGTTTTCTGACCCTTTAGTCTTACCTACTGGAAACAATTCTGGGAACAGCAGGAGCACAAAAATGCTTTAGGTTCATTCGCTGTTCTGCTCGTTGTTGTTTGCTAGCGATGCACTAACGTCCTCTTCATCACTCACAGGAAAGCCCTCTTCCAAATTCAGTAGATGAAGAGCATATAGTTAGCAGGATTAAAACCCAGTTGAAAACCCGAGCATTAATCCTATCTAGCTAATGCCATGAAAGGAACTTAAAAAAGTTTGCTTTGAAGGTATATTTTCACATGTTGGTGGTTGAGCTGTCGGTACATATTTCGTTTTAGGGATTTAGTTTCTTTTAAATATTCAAACAGATAATTTCATATTGCGGTAATTGAATGTAAATTTTTCATTAAACGGCTGAACAAACAGCGCGGCTAGCACTAAATTGTGTGAACATGCCTCAACTATTTTTATCAGCGTTTTTACAGCTTTAAATCACTTTGATGCACCTCAAACAAAACCAAAAAAAATTAGTGTTTTATCATCAGGTCTTTGTTTTTGATAACCAACACTAACTGAAGCAAATAGGCAACGATTAATTGAACTCAATAGAATGTGAAAGAAGGGATTAGTTTAGTAATGGCGTAATTGTGGATTGAGGCAATGAATGAATGAATGTTTTATAACAATGGTCTGAATAGTTTGCCTGTTTACCTTTGGGAAGCTGATTTAATATTGTCGATAAAGGGACAGCTGCTATGTCGCCATTTCAGCCATAATTGTGTCCGGAAGATCATCAATTCCAGAAGACCCTTTGTCAATTTCGACCGCAACAAAAACCTGCTGAGAATTTGTTGACGGTTAAAACGGTAATCAGTTAACACAGGTTATATATTCTAACCTACCAGCTATTGATTTAATATATTCTAGCTCTTGATGAAAATACATTCCAGACTTTCCGCATATTTATTTAGGATTGGTTAGATTTCGAGTCGCCGAGGGATTTTCTTTTATTTTACTTTCAACTCTAAAATTCGATTTCTATTGTCTGACTTCAATTGAGACGCCTGTTTGTTAATTTTCAAATTTGAATCACACCAATCCGAAGCTGTAATCAATGAATATCCATAATGAGATGAAACTGGCTGTGTTAAACAATTATCACTAAAGCTCAGCGGGTTTTAATTTAACCGACTTTGCAAAGTCCCGACTGAAAGACATAATCTTTAACGATAAGTCGTGACTTATACACAATTAAAATTTCAGCCCATACAGCTTCTTCGCAGTAAACTGTTCACCCTTAAGTCCTAGAAATAATCCCCGTTTAATGCGTTTAATGTCTGGTTGAACAGTTGCAAATCTTTCTCTAACTCTTACTGCACTTTATTTTATTTGTCATTAATGACTTTGCCTTAAATGGCGAGTGTTGATGTTTTATGTAAATTACATTTTCCGCTCGTTCGTTGCTTTATACATGGCTGTTCCAGATTAGATCCGGGTTTCGACTTGAACAAGCCTAATGGATGCTCTATATGGCTTAAGCCAATATTGGATAGTTGTCTCAATGTGCTTAACATTTATCCATTTACATTTCACTAAATATTGATTTTGTGGTTTTAACTATTGAGTATGTTGTTTTTCTAAAAATACATTTACTCACTAATACTACCACAGCATTAGAAAAATGTATTTGAAGTGCAAAAACTTAGTTTACACAATCCGGAGTTTAGGCACTTTTAAAGAATTGGCTATGGACATGAATAAATCAAAATTTTCATTTTCGCTTCGTTCTATCGCACTTTGACGAACACTTAATAATGAAAAAATATGGGCGCTCTCGTTTAATTATGATGGTTCAATTTCCCGGACTACCTTAATTTCGTAGCAATCCAACCCACTCAATTCGCTTCAGGTTGACAGTGATCCTGTAGGCTTTTCGATTGTAATGCTGAAAATTACCCGATCCATTTCACGTGCTGATTAATTATTACTCAGTGATCACTGAACCCTTTTTGCAAAAATGTGTTTGTAATTATCAATTCTTTCATGCCTTCTGCTGCCTTGACAAACGCTCGGTTTGCATCACAATTAGATCACTTAATCTATTTCGCTGAGAGAATCTATTTACTGTGATGTACGGTTTTGCTGATAAAACAAGTCTATCATTAATGTGTTTATCTCGCAAATTACTCCAACTAATAGTTGTGTTAGAGAACACGTAGTCCTAGTTAAATCTAGTCCTTCTGTGGTATTGCTAGAGCAAACATAGAAGCATGTATAATTCAGTGACAGATCCTCGGGTGCGATCATTTAAACTTACATCAAATATCAAATATCCTAGCTAAAGACCACAACCGTTTAATTCATGCTCTGTTATTCTGTAGCTTCGGAACAAGTTCAAATATTCTGTATGCGTGGTTGGCTTTTTAATCGTTGCCCAAAATGTTTGGTTTGCATTCGTCTACGGGTAGTATTTACAGCCAGACCAATAGAAACTCAACAGACTGGCGAATTATGTACCATTTCAATTACCCAAACATTTTCATAAAATCTTCACTATCAGTCGGGCTATATACATTGACGATTATAAACCGCCCTATTCCCGAAGAGTTTAACGAGCACCTTGTTTGCATGGTTGTAGGAATGTTGGAATTATAACCGACGAAGGGATTATGTAGAAGTGTAGGTTTATTCGGCTGGAAATGGCTAAATAGGAAAGTAAATGAACCAAGAGAAAACTCAAGAAAGAACTAGATTATCTTGAGCCTTCTGTGGAATACTAAATATGTTTGCAGCGAAAATGTCCTTAGAATTAGCAGGATCTCCAAAATTAAGTTATCCTTCTAGTTAATATATACAGCAGCAAACCCTGTTGTTAAAGTTTATTATTTAGGAATTACTAGCCAGTTAGCACACAGCAATAAAACAAAACTAAAATAAAACCAGTAAAGTTCAAATAACTGAACGAACTGGGCACAAACTTGCTTGTTTCGTACAGAAAAAATCCAATAAATACTGTGTTTAATTAACGGAGAGCACTTTATGTATCGATTAGGAAATAGTTTTAAAAGCAAAAAGTGATGGAACATTGCCAAACTAAAGCTCAACCGACTCGCCTTTTGCTGAGTTAAGTCTATTTAATTAAATTTTATTGTTTCAGGATGGATATATACCAAGGGATACTAATTAATTAGAAAGTCATCCCGAAAATGATTCACTGCGTGAAAAAAGCCTTCCCGACGCTACTCGTTTTGTATGAAATAATCATGTGCTCTAAAGCCGCAGGTCAGTATGCAAAATACTATTGTTTCCTCATTTATTTGTTCTATTTACGCGCTTATTATTGACAATGGGATATTAATAACAGCTAATACCAGACAGTGTTTTACAGGAGGCAATATTTCAAAACAGTGCATCCTATTTATTACAGGGTGGTTATACCAAGACCGGATGGCAGATTATTACATGCGCATGTAATTTTCAAATTTTTTTCTTGTGATATTTGCATCAATAGTGGACATCCAATAACACTATTTTTTTTTGAACGTGAACATCGTGACCCCATATATTCACTTGGTTGATTATCTTGAAGGTTTTTCGACTGGGCTTCAGAAAATGCGAAATTGTCAATGTTTTGACTCGACGAGTTTCTGAGATAAAGCGGTCGTAAATTCAAATTTTTGCAGGACTTAGCGCCATTAAACTCTACTATGAAATTCACCAATTAAGCCAACAAACTATGTATTCGACAGGTAAATAATTCAGGGTTAAGACAGGTTTCACAAATTGAGCTGACAAGTTTTTCATTAAATTAATTTTTGTCAGCAACGATGAATTTGACTATCCAGGAAGTGGTTAATTTGGTGTTAATCCTCGGAGAATGGCAAAAAAAAAATTTTAACCAGTAGCTATGTATATGCTGCCAGATATCAAAATGCGGATAGAAAACCGCGTGTTGGAACATCAAAAATTTTATGGGACAAATTGGAAGAAACCGAAAATTTTGCATTGATGTGCAAAATGTTTAAATTAATAATCTTTATGAAAAACGCTAACTCCCTGTACGTACTGGTACATTCTTTGAAAGGAGTCAAGACAAATCCGATTTTTCAATTTCTGTTAATCAGTTGTCCTCACTTGGATTTTTTGCGAACACGCTGTGAAACCAAAATAATTTTAGTGGATAGCCACTATTGATGCCAATGTTGCGTTAAAAACGAATTCCAAAATTACACACCAGTTAGCCATAATCTTCGACCCCGTCTTGGTTGGACCAATAATACACACGCAAAGCGTCATCCAATACATCATCTACATTGGAGTATTCCTGAATCTTTATATAAAAACAAAATTTAGTTTGCAGAAGCATTTTCCGGAAACCTAGCAAATGCATGTACTTATTTTTAGACTGTTGTTGTTACTTTGGTATTACGTTAACCACCATCTCGTCCCAACAGGAAATTTTATTTTAATTTACTCCGGCAAAGTAATTCAGTTGTGCGTGCTGCTAAATGGAAGGGTGAAAGGCATATTTTGGCACTCGTTAAATTTCCAAACATGTTATCTTTGTAATAAAATGTAAATTAATTTTAATTCAACAATCCTGCATGGCATGCTGCTGCGCACATTAAAACTAAGTCGAAATATTAAAGTCACATTTTTTCAACTCAATGTAGCTCGGCTTTTCAATTTGCAATAAAGTTATAAATTCTGCTGTAACGTCTTGCATTATATTTGGTTTCACCCCACAGGATAGCGTTCGCTTCACTACCCCTGTAATCCTTGCTTTCCACAAGATTTAATGCAGTAGCGAAGAGACCAATCTTGATTGTGACCTGTGAAATGCTTCAACATTTAGTCTTTTCAATTTGAGCATGTTGCATTTTCAGTGCATCTGACATAGCTTATTTTGTATCATTGGGCTTCCAATGAAAATACCAGTATGTAATCTGCTTGAGTTCAATTCCAAATTAAAATCAAATCCTGGGTTCTT